GCTGAGCCGCAGGTCCCCGCTGCGGGGGTCCAGCAGCACCAGGTTGAGCTCGTTCCCCTGCTCGAAGGCGTAGGTGAGGCTGTCGGAGACGTCGGGGTCGTGGGCCGGGATGCGGCCGATGACCCCCCCGGGGAAGCTGCCCGAGCCTGCCCGAGCGGTTGGTGATGTAGTTGTTGAAGAGGATCTCAAAGTTCTTGAGTTGGGGGCTGTTGTCGTTGGCGTCGCGAAGGCGGACGTGGACGGTGGCCCGGCTGACCAGGGGGGCTGAGGTGGCTTGGACCACCATGATGTACTCCGCCTTGGACTCGTAGTCCAGGTCGGCCAAGGCGGTGAGCTCGCCGGAGAAGATATCCAGCTGGAAGACCTCGGGGATGTTGCCCTCCACGATCTGGTACATGATTTGGGCGTTGGTGCCCTCGTCGGGGTCGGTGGCCGTGATCCGGGCCACCACCAGCCCGATGGGGCTGTTCTCCTCCACGAAGATGTCGAACTCGTCCCGCTCGAAGACGGGCGGGTTGTCGTTGACGTCCAGCACCGTCACTTGGATCTCCACCGGTGTCCGCTTGGCCGGGACCCCCTTGTCGACAGCGAACGCCCGCAGGGCGTAGAGTGGCACGTTCTCCCGGTCGAGGCGGCGCAAGGTGCGGACGATGCCCGAGGTGGACTCGATGATGAAGTCGCCATCGCCATCGTCACCCCCTTGGAAGGTGTAGAAGACCCTGCCGTTGAGCCCCGAGTCGCGGTCAGTGGCGGAGACCTGGAGGACGCTGGTGAAGGCGGGCACGTCCTCGTAGACGGAGCCCTGGTAGGAGTCGCGGAGGAACTGGGGCGCATTGTCGTTGACATCGCTCACCAGGATCTCCAGGTAGGTGGTGTCGGACTTCTGCGGGATGCCGTTGTCACGCGCCGTGATGGCCAGGGTGTAGGACACCTGGTCCTCGTAGTCCAGCTCCATCTGGGTGGTGACGGCCCCCGTCTCGGCGGCGATGCGGAACTGGGGGATGCTGTCCTCCATCAGGTAGGTGATGCGGGCGTTCTCCCCCGTGTCCTCGTCCGTGGCGCTGATGACCACCACCGTGGTGCCCACCGGCCGGTCCTCGTTGACGTTGACGGTGTAGTGGGAACTCTGGAAGACGGGTCGGTGGGTGTTGGCGTCGGTGACGTTGATGACCACCTGGGCCGTGTCCTGGCGGGTGCCGTCGGAGGCGGCGATGGTGAGGAGGTACTGCCGCTCCAGCTTGTAGTCCAGGGGCAGGGCGAGGGAGATGAGCCCACCGCCGCTCTGGCTGGTGATGGAGAAGCGGTTGCGGGTGTTGCCGCTGGAGATCTGGTAGGTGATGACGCTGTTGGCATCGCGGTCGACGGCGGAGACGGTGAGGACGCTGGTGCCCACCGCCGCGTCCTCGTTCAGGCGGGCGCCGTACTCCCGTCGCGTGAACTCGGGGCTGTTGTCGTTGACGTCCAGGACGGTGACGCTGACGCTGGCCGAGGAGGCCATGGGGGGGTCACCCTGGTCCTGCGCCTCCACCCCGAAGCTGTAGAAGTCCACCGCCTCCCGGTCCAGCTCGGAGGCCACCACGATCCACCCGGTGCTGTTGTTGATGGCGAAGGGGAAGCCGGCGCCGGTCTCCAGGAGGGTGTAGACCAGCCGGCCGTTGTCACCCGAATCGGCGTCGATGGCTTGAACGTGGATGACGGAGTAACCCACCGGCACGTTCTCCAGCACGGTGGCCTGGAAGGGCGTGCTGACGAAGATGGGGGCGTTATCGTTGACGTCCAACACCTGGACGGTGACCAAGCCGCTGATGTTGGAGAGGGGCGGGCGGCCGCCGTCCTGCGCCCGGATCCGTAGAGTGAACTCCTTGCTGACCTCGTAGTCCAAGGGGCTGACCACGTCCAGCGCGCCCGTCTGCGCGTCGATGTAGAAGTGGCCGCGGGTGTTACCGCTGACGATGCTGTAGTGCACCAGAGCGTTGCTGCCCTTGTCGCGGTCGGTGGCTGTCACCCGCAGCACGGCCGAGTTGGGCGCCACGTCCTCGGGGACCTGCGCCACATAACGCTTCTCGCTGAACTGCGGCGCGTTGTCGTTGTCGTCCTCCACGGCGATGCGGACGGTGGCCGTGGCGCTGCGGGGTCCCGGCTCCTGGCCCTGATCCGTGGCCTCCACCAACAGCTCGAAGGCCGCCACCGGCTGCCGGTCCGCGGGGCCGCGGGTGCGGATGACGCCCGAGCGGGGATCGATCTCGAAGACCTCGTTGGCGCCGCCGGCGTTGAGGAGACGGTAGAGGACGTTGGCGTTGGGACCGGCGTCGCCGTCGGTGGCCCGCACCGTCAGCACCTCGTAGCCCACCTCCAGGTTCTCCCGCACGCTCTCCCGGTACTCGGGCTGCTCGAAGGCCGGATCATGGTCGTTGGTGTCGCTCACTGTCACCGTCAACGTGGCCATGGCGCTGCGCCGGGGCGTCCCGTGGTCCGCCGCTGTCACCCGGAAGACATGGGTGCTCTTGCTCTCGCGGTCCAGGGGGGCGGCGGTGGTGGCGGAGGCGGTGGCAGGGGCCGTGGTTGAGAGGGG